CTCCCCTCTCCGCCACGCCTCCCCTCTCCGCCACGCCTCCCCTCTCTGCCACGCCTCCCCTCTCCGCCTCGCCTCCCCTCTCTGCCTCGCCTCCCCTCTCTGCTTCGCCTCCCCCCTCTGATTGCCTCTCGTGCTGCCTCGCCTCCCCTCTCCGCCTCGCCTCCCCTCTCAGCCTCGCCTCTCCTCTCTGCCTTGCCCCCCCTCTCCGCCTCGCCTCCCCTCTCCGCCTCGCCTCCCCTCTCTGCCTTGCCTCCCCTCTCTGCCTCGCCTCCCCTCTCCGCCACGCCTCCCCTCTCTGCCTTGCCTCTCCTCTCCGCTACGCCTCCCCTCTCCGCCTCGCCTCCCCTCTCCGCCACGCCTCCCCTCTCAGCCTCGCCTCCCCTCTCAGCCTCGCCTCCCCTCTCTGCCACGCCTCCTATCCCGCGTGGCTTCCCCTCCCACTTCGCTTCGTATGTTGCATTGCTCCCCTTCTCAACCCGCCTCCTATCTCGGTGCTTCCCCTCATCCCCCCTCGCCGATCTCCTCTCTTTAGGCGCCTCTCTCCTCTCGCGTCGCCTCTATCCTCCCGCGTCTCCTGTCTCACCTCCCGCCACCTCTCTCCTCCCTCCTCGCCATTACCCCATCTCCTCGCCTACCTCCTCTCGCGCCGCTGCTTTCAGTCATGTCTAGCCCGTGCAATTCGCGTGTTGCTCACTTCCCTCGCTATGCCTCTACCATACGCTTCGTCTCGCCTAGCCTCTATCCTTGCTTAGCCTGTCCTCCCGCGTCGACTGTCTCCTCACGCATCGCCTGTCCTCTCGCCTTACCTCTCTCTTCTCACCACGTGTCGCTACTTCCTCTAGCGTCGTCTCTCGAATTTTGATCTGCCCATCTCCTCTTGCGTCGCCTCTGTCCTCCCGCTTCGTCTGTCTCCTCACGCCTTACTTCTCTCCTCTCAGCTCATATCTCTCCCCTCGCCTCGTCTCACTCTATCCTACCGCGAAGCCTCTCTCTTATCGAGTCGCTACATTCCTTCGCGTCCCCTCTCTCCTACCGCAAAGCCTCTCCTATCGCGTCGCCTCTCCTCCAGCGAGAGCCGCTTGCCTCTTGCCTTGTCATTCTCCTCTCGAATCAGTCTAAACCCTATTCCGATGCCTCACTTGCGAGAGATTCACTTCACCACCTGAGACTTTTGGCTTTTTCGTCCATATCTGGAAGTACGCGCTTGGCTCCTAACTCGTCGGCGTAAATGGGTGGTTGTGGGATCTGTCTACCTCCTTGTCCCAAATTACCATCAAACTGGGCCCATTATAACAGCTCTGGGGTTGTTAGTAGGAGTAGAGGTTGAGGGATCCTTAAAGAAAGAGTGCTAGCATAATCAATAGATCATATGATAGCTTCAAACAAAGAAGAGAGCACACTTATACTAGGAAAGCTTTCTTGGCACCTTGGTACTTCTGAAGGCGCCTAGATAAGGTCGCCCGTGGCGCCTTGGCATTTCTATCCTAGCTGGAGACAAGCAAGCAAGCTCATGATTATTTACAAGTAGCCTTGCCTTGTTGTCTCTCCTAGGAAATAGCTAAACAAGCATAGAAATTAACTATACAAGTAGTTTTCATTTTCCAAGTAGTGCTGGTATCTTCGTCACCTTGTACATGTCGATTGTAGTCTTTGCTGGCGCTTGTAGTAGCTGCAGTAGTTAATCTCTAGGTTGCGCTGGCGCTTTCCACGCTTTGCTGGCTCTCGGAATCTGCTCTAGAGTAGTGCTGTGACTCACAGGCAGTTGTACAAATTTGGGGTTGAGGAATTGTTCAGTTCGAGGCGCACGATTTTGGTTGGACAAATCCAACCTCGAAATCTACAGTTCGCTGAGTTGGTGAACTTTTGGGTGAGTTCGCTTTCGCCTTGTAACATTACTCCCCTCCCCAGTAAGCACCGTCCTCGGTGCTGCCCTGGAAGCAAGATACTTAGTAAGGGCTCGTTGCGCGTACTGCAAACCACTTCACAAGGTAGTAGGTGCCGTTGCAGGTGTCTTCATGAGCAAGGATGATCTCAACTTCAGAAAGGTCAGGAATTGGAGTGAACATAGGAGGAGGAGGAGGCCTAGAAGATGAGGGAAAGTGAGAAGGGGGTTGATGGTAAGGGCGTAGAAGTTGAACGTGGAAGACAGGATGGATGTTGATGTGAGATGGGAGCTTAAGGCGGTAGGTGAGAGGAGAGAGTACTTGGGTGATAGTGAAGGGTCCAATGAAGCGAGGAGCTAGTTTACGAGTAAGGTCTTCTTGCAGTAAAGGGAGATTGGCCGTTGAGAGGAGAACATGGTCACCTTCTTTGAAGTGGATGTCACGCCGATGCTGGTCAGCATACTGGATCATACGCCGCTGTGCTCGAAGAAGAGATGCACGTGCTGTTGCAATGACTGTGTTCTTGCTGCTGAGGAAAGCAGTTGCTGCAGTATCTCAAGTGGGGCTGTGTACGAGTGAAGAGGGAGTGCGAGGGTTCTGTCCAGTAGCAAGGTAGAAGGGGGTCTGTCCGGTGGCGAGATTCACTGTGTTGTTGTAGGAGAACTCGATGTCAGGCAAGTGGAGATCCCAGTCGTTCTGGCACGCGTTGACGCAAGCTCGCAGACCATCTTCAAGCGTTCGATTCATCCTTTCAGACTGCCCATCTGACTGAGGGTGATAGGCAGTTGAGAGGCGAATCTTGGTCCCGAGCCTGTTGAAGAGGGTTTGCTAGAATCGACAAAGGAAACGGGAATCACGATCAGAGATTAGAACAGAGGGGACGACATGAAGACGTACCACCTCTTTGAAGAAAAGCTCAGCAGTATGCTGTGCAGTAGCTGTGGTGGATGTGGGAATGAAATGCGCCATTTTAGAGAGCTAGTCAACGACAGTGAGAATGGCATTATGATGAGAGGCAGTAGGGGGGAGATCAGTGATAAAGTCAAGAGTGACATGACTCCAAGGGAGCTCAGGAATGTCCAGGGGATGTAAGAGACCATAAGGAGCTGCGTTGCGAGCCTTGTTACACTGACAGATATGGCAGGAGCGCACGTAGGAGCGAACGTCACAAGAGAGCTTGGGCCAGAAGTAATTGGCAGAGATGGCCGCAAGCGTCTTGTCGACTCCAAAGTGTGCGTTCTTGTCATGATGCTCGCAAAGCAAGAGGTGACGCAGCTTTCGGTTTGCTGGGACACAGATGGCGTGAGAGTCTGTCTTGTACCAGAAAGGGGATTCATAGTAGACAGACTTATGGGTAGGGGCAGAGGAGAGGTAAAATGAGTCACGCCAATATCCCTTGGTGAATTGCTGATGAAGTTCTCATCCCAAGTCACATTGCCAATGGCTGAAAGCTGAGAGGGTGGGGGTCGAGTCAATGAGTCAGCAGGATTGAGGCGACCAGCACGGTACTCAATCTTCAGCTCAGGTACATACTGTTCCAAGTATTCCATCCAACGAGCCTGACTGGGGGTAAGGTGAGGTTGTGTCTTGAAGTGTTGAAGGGTGCAATGGTCAGTAAGGACAGTGACGGGTTGCATATGGACATAACAACGCCCCTTTTTAATGGCATGGACAATGGCCAACATCTCACGGTCATGAGTGGCATAGTTGCACTCAGCAGGTTTGAGCTTTCGAGAGTCGAAGGCAAGGGGTTAAAGGCCATGTCCCTGATCTTGACAAAGGATTGCACCCGTTGCAACACTGGAGGCATCTGTCCATATGGTGTAGGGAAGGGAAGGGTTGGGAAGGGCTAGAGTAGGAGAAGAGGTTAAGGCTTGTTTGATGGCTTCAAAGGCTTTGTCTTCGTCTGGTCCCCAGTGGAATCCTTCTGTCTTACGCAGTAGGTTAGAAAAGGGGGAAGTGATTACAGCAAAGTGTTGAATGAACTTTCGATATTAGTTAGCGAGGCCAAGAAAGGCTTGCAGTTCTTTGATGGAAGTTGGAGGCTTCCAATCTTGGACTGCTTTTACCTTAGAAGGGTCCATGGACAACTGATTGTGTGAGATAATATGGCCCTCGGTTCGCTGATCTGGCGAACTTTTGGGTGAGTTCGCTTTCGCCTTATAACACCCATGCTATTTCCGTCGCGGGCTGGCTGGTTTGGCAGGGGAGGTGGCATGTTCTTGTGCGAAAAAGGGTGGTTAGCCCCTCGGCGTTTTCACGGTCTGGGTGAGGGTGGATTGGGTTACCAACCCGAACCACATCAAACTGGGCCCAGTTTGATGGTCAACCTTGCTAATTTGGGACCTGGGCTTTAAGGTGTATGACGCACTGCCTGTTTTCTTGTACGGCTTCAATTCTCAATGCTGCCCTGCCAACTGTACAGTACAGACTTTCCCAAGCAACGAAGAGAAAACAGTGGGGGTTTAAAGCGAGTGGTAAAAATAATGAAGGCGGGTCCAACTTGAAAGGGCCCAGAAGTTCGTCGTAGCGACTAAGGGACAAATAGGTTGGGGCAGAGGGGTTCACTGTCGAGACATGCGAGCAGGGGAAACTGCGCGAGCATGAGCGATTACTTGATTGGTTGGCGGGAACCCCCGTTTCGTTTGGTGGGAAATGTGGCATGAGCAGCACTTGGCGCGAACAGACTCAAGTCGCAAATATCGCGCCACCAGTCGCACAACCCCCACTGCCCACAAGTTGAACCAAGTGGGCCCAACTTGAATTTCAAGTTGGACCAGGGTTCATTACTCCTGCTGAACCAAAGCTGGTTGCCGATTGGTCGAAATTGTTGTCTGCGCATGCCGGTGGTCGTTCAATCTGTCACGATATCATTCCCGTCGCAGGTGCAATTCGATTTCGTGGCCCAAGGCAAAATAAAAAATCCGGGCTGCTGCCCGGCGCGAAACAAAATATTCGCCCAAGGGTCGTTTCTAGTTGGGCCCAACTAGAAAGGGGGGTCACTATTATAACCTCTCGCTTACCGTACAGTATCCGCCAGCCCCGCCAAACCCCCCGTGCTCCATCTAGACTGCTGGGTCGACCCCTCCGACTTCGACTGCTCTGGACTCCCGATTCCGAGTCAGACGCTTGACTCCCAACGACTATCAGGTCCTTCAGGACTGGGCTCCAGCTGCACAATTCGATAGTGGATCGATAGCTCCTGTCTCGATGATACCGGACAAACCTGGCAGCGGCGCAGTTCGTTTTATGCATACACGGTACTGTACTGACAAATCGCCTCGTTTTGATTTGTTTTTTTGTGACGAATTTACCATTACAGTACCTAACTACAACCTCCAACGGCGGAGTTGTCGCCACCTAGCTATGTGTTGGCGGGCGTAGCGGACAACCGAGGTCGTCGGGCGGACGACAAGATGGCCCACCCACTGTGGCATCATGCTGACCCGCCGTGCTGGCCTTTACTGTACCGCCGAGCGCCTTGGACTCCAGAAGAGGCTCTTCCAAACTTGCGAACAGTGACAGTCACAGTGACAGTGACATTGAGCCGGCTTTCTGCCCGGGAAGCTCTGAATTTCCGCCGGAAATCCCGTGATGCGGTTTTGCGAGTGGAGATGGGGGCACTGGTTTGTTGAGGAGGGGACGGATGGAGAGAGGGGGGCTGCGGCGGGTGTTTTCATTAGATCGGATCTGCACGGGGGCATTATGAGGCGGAGGAGGGGGGAGGGGAGAGCGGATCTCTGCGGGGAGCAGCGTGAGCGGACCTCCTCAGGAGGCTGCTGCTCCGGCGAGGGGTGCTGGGGGAGTGGCATGCGGCAAGGCCTCAATTCCGAGGCCTCGGGTCGGGACTGAGTGGTACAAACACATGCCCTTCTAGGCTACTACTGTACTAGGCACCACCACTGGTGCTCTTCACACCAACGTCGAACGTTTTCACAATCCGAAGTCTATTCGCCGTCTCCCACGAATAAGAAGGTGTCGGGCGTCACCCCTTGAATAAGCCCTCGCCGCTAGCCATGGCACCTCGCCGCCTTCCGGCGTTAGTTGTTTCAGCGCAAGCGGCGGCGCTTGCGCTGCTGCTCGTCGTCGCGGCGGCGCTTGGCGGGGTGCATGCATCGGGGGGAAGGGCGGAGCCGCGCAGGCTGGCCGCGGGTGGAAGCGGGACTGCAGCGGAGCTGGTAAAGGACTCCCCCCGTTCTTCCGCGGAGGGGGAAGTGAGGAATTCCGCGCTTGTGGTGAACGATTCCGCGCCTTCTTCCGCGAAAGGGGGTGAGGAGGCGGAGGCGGAGGCGGAGGTGGAGGCGGGGGTTCCGCCGCTGCAGCTGATAATAGCGGAGGAAGGGCGCGCAGTGGGCGCAGTGTGCTTGGACGGGTCGGCTCCAGGATTCTACTATCGGAAGGGCTATGGCTCAGGCCGCAACAACTGGGTGCTCTTCTTCGAGGTGTGTGACTGTAACGAATGGCACACTCCTTCCGTTCTCTTCTTTCCCCTCTCCTCCCTTCTCCTCCCTTCTCCTCCCTTCTCCTCCCTTCTCCTCCCTTCTCCTCCCTTCTCCTCCCTTCTCCTCCCTTCCTTTTTCATGCTTCGCTTGTTGATGCGGCTCCTTCCGTTCTACTTCCCTTCCCCTCCCGTCTCTTTCTTCCTTTCCCATGCTTCCTTGCCCTGTAACAAGCCGCCCGTTCCCTTTCCTTTTCTCTCTGCTCTTTCCCCTTTCTTCCAAATGAATCCACAGCGGTGCATGGTGCGACTCTCCTCCGCACGGCTGCCACCGCCAACAGGGCCACAGCCTCAGGGCCACAGCCTCGGGGCCACAGCCTCGGGGCCACAGCCTCGGGGCCACAGCCTCGGGGCCACAGCCTCGGGGCCACAGCCTCGGGGCCAGCAGCCTCGTGTTTGCCTTGTTCCTCCCACCCCCTCCCTTCCCTCCCCTCCACGCCCTTTCCGTGGAAACCCAGGGCGGCGCTTCGTGCCCTTCCGACCACAGCCGCGCGCACAGGCCGGCCACCATCCAAGGCTCGTCAGCCGTCTTACATTTGACTTGTTCCTCCCGTCCCTCCTTTCCCCCGTTTCCCCCTTCCCCCCATCCCCCGTCCCCCGTCCCCCCCTTTCCCTCTTGCCCCCATCGCCCCATCCCCCCTTCCCCCCATTCCCCCCTTCCCCCCATTCCCCCCTTCCCCCCCCCCTTCCCCTCCTTTCCCGAGACAACCAGGGCGGCGCATGGTGCTCGTCGCACCACGCCTGTGCGCACAGGGCCACCACCATCTTGGGGTCGTCAGCCCTCTTTCTGCCTGCTGAAGAGATGGAGAGCACGGAGAGGGGCATGAAGGGCATGTTCAGTGCCAACCGCACCATCAACCCGGGTGAGGCCATGGAAGGTATAACGCCTCGCTACCCACTGGGTCAAAACGAGGTTACCCAGAGGCGCAGCGGAATGCGTTTCTACACTCTAGGGTAATTCCGTCTGCAGACGTTACAGAAGGAGTGGCGAGCGGCCCACCAACACTGGGCTCTTCTCCCCTCTGCGCTCTTCTCCCTGCTGCGCTCTTCTCCCCTCTGCGCACTTCTCCCCTCGGCGCTCTTCTCCCCTCGGCGCTCTTCTCCCCTCTGCGCTCTTCTCCCCTCGGCGCTCTTCTCCCCTCTGCGCTCTTCTCCCCTCGGCGCTCTTCTCCCCTCTGCGCTCTTCTCCCCTCGGCGCTCTTCTCCCCTCTGCGCTCTTCTCCCCTCGGCGCTCTTCTCCCCTCTGCGCTCTTCTCCCCTCGGCGCTCTTCTCCCCTCTGCGCTCTTCTCCCCTCGGCGCTCTTCTCCCCTCGGCGCTCTTCTCCCCTCGGCGCTCTTCTTCATACACTGTTGCCTTCTCTCGCCGGTCAAGCTCTCTTCATTCTCTTGAAGCGCATCAACTCCCTCCTCCCTCCCTCCACCCCTCCCCGGGGCCCTTGCCCCCCACCAGACTTCTACAATTGGAATGCGGCATTCTTCCCTTACTGCGATGGCGGCTCTTTCTCAGGCGATCGGGAGCACATACCCGTCCCCAGTGTGAGCTTAACTCCTTTCGACTCCTCTCCACTCCTTTTCAGCCCGGTTTCCCTCCATTCCTTGTGCCCCCTCTTGCTGTGCTCCCCTTTGGAGTTTTCTAAACCTGACCCCTCTCTCTTCTGCCTTCTGCTTTTCTAGCATCGCTCCGTTTGCCTACTAGCTGTCTCCTGTAGCCCCACGTAGGCCCACCTAGGCCCACCTAGGACCACCTAGGCCCACCTAGCCCCACCTCGACCCACCTAGACCCACCTAGGCGCACCTAGTCCCACCTAGGCCCACCAAGGCCCACCTAGCCCCACCTAGCCCAACCTAGGCCCACCTAGTCCCACCTAGGCCCACCAAGCCCCACGAAGCTCCACCTAGGCCTTGTGAGGCCCTCACAGGCCCGCCGTCCTTCCCTGCCCACTCATCCTCCCAAGGCCCTTCCGCCCTTCCTTGCCCACTTTCCCCTTGTGCTGCTGCCCCCAGGGCGCGCCTCTGTATCTTCGCGGCAGAAGGGTGGCTGACTTGCTTCTGAAGCACCTGATTGACAGGATGGGGCTTGCCCAGGCACACCAGGTGAGAGGGATGGGGCTTGCCCAGGCACACCGGGTGAGAGTGATGGGGCTTGCCCAGGCACACAGGGTGAGAGGGATGGGGCTTGCCACGGCACACCGGGTGAGAGAGATGGGGCTTGCCCAGGCACACTGGGTGAGAGGGATGGGGCTTGCCACGGCACACCGGGTGAGAGGGATGGGGCTTGCCCAGGCACACCGGGTGAGAGAGATGGGGCTTGCCACGGCACACCGGGTGAGAGGGATGGGGCTTGCCCAGGCACACCGGGTGAGAGGGATGGGGCTTGCCCAGGCACACCGGGTGAGAGAGATGGGGCTTGCCACGGCACACCGGGTGAGAGGGATGGGGCTTGCCCAGGCACACCGGGTGAGAGAGATGGGGCTTGCCACGGCACACCGGGTGAGAGGGATGGGGCTTGCCCAGGCACACCGGGTGAGAGAGATGGGGCTTGCCACGGCACACCGGGTGAGAGGGATGGGGCTTGCCACGGCACACCGGGTGAGAGGGATGGGGCTTGCCCAGGCACACCGGGTGAGAGGGATGGGGCTTGCCCAGGCACACCGGGTGAGAGGGATGGGGCTTGCCACGGCACACTGGGTGAGAGGGATGGGGCTTGCCCAGGCACACCAGGTGAGAGGGATGGGACTTGCCCAGGCACACCGGGTGAGAGGGATGGGGCTTGCCCAGGCACACCAGGTGAGAGGGATGGGGCTTGCCCAGGCACAGCAGGTGAGAGGGATGGGGCTTGCCCAGGCACACCAGGTGAGAGGGATGGGGCTTGCCCAGGCACACCAGGTGAGAAGGATGGGGCTTGCCACGGCACACCGGGTGAGAGGGATGGGGCTTGCCACGGCACACCGGGTGAGAGGGATGGGGCTTGCCGAGGCACACCGGGTGAGAGGGATGGGGCTTGCCCAGGCACACAGGTGAGAGGGATGGGGCTTGCCCAGGCACACCAGTTGAGAGGGATGGGGCTTGCCCAGGCACACCAGTTGAGAGGGATGGGGCTTGCCCAGGCACACCGAGTGAGAGGGATGGGGCTTGCCCAGGCACACCAGGTGAGAGGGATGGGGCTTGCCACGGCACACCGGGTGAGAGGGATGGGGCTTGCCACGGCACACCAGGTGAGAGGGATGGGGCTTGCCACGGTACACCAGGTGAGAGGGATGGGGCTTGCCACGGCACACTGGGTGAGAGGGATGGGGCTTGCCCAGGCACACCGGTGAGAGGGATGGGGCTTGCCCAGGCACACCAGGTGAGAGGGATGGGGCTTGCCCAGGCACACCAGGTGAGAGGGATGGGGCTTGCCCAGGCACACCAGGTGAGAGGGATGGGGCTTGCCCAGGCACACTGGGTGAGAGGGATGGGGCTTGCCCAGGCACACTGGGTGAGAGGGATGGGGCTTGCCCAGGCACACCAGGTGAGAGGGATGGGGCTTGCCACGGCACACCGGGTGAGAGGGATGGGGCTTGCCACGGCACACCAGGTGAGAGGGATGGGGCTTGCCACGGCACACTGGGTGAGAGGGATGGGGCTTGCCCAGGCACACCAGGTGAGAGGGATGGGGCTTGCCCAGGCACACCGGGTGAGAGGGATGGGGCTTGCCCAGGCACACCGAGTGAGAGGGATGGGGCTTGCCCAGGCACACCAGATGAGAGGGATGGGGCTTGCCACGGCACACCGGGTGAGAGGGATGGGGCTTGCCACGGCACACCAGGTGAGAGGGATGGGGCTTGCCACGGTACACCAGGTGAGAGGGATGGGGCTTGCCACGGCACACTGGGTGAGAGGGATGGGGCTTGCCACGGCACACCAGGTGAGAGGGATGGGGCTTGCCACGGCACAACAGGTGAGAGGGATGGGGCTTGCCCAGGCACACCGGGTGAGAGAGATGGGGCTTGCCACGGCACACTGGGTGAGAGGGATGGGGCTTGCCCAGGCACACCGGGTGAGAAAGATGGGGCTTGCCACGGCACACTGGGTGAGAGGGATGGGGCTTGCCCAGGCACACTGGGTGAGAGAGATGGGGCTTGCCACGGCACACCGGGTGAGAGGGATGGGGCTTGCCACGGCACACCGGGTGAGAGGGATGGGGCTTGCCCAGGCACACCAGGTGAGAGGGATGGGGCTTGCCCAGGCACACCGGGTGAGAGGGATGGGGCTTGCCCAGGCACACCGGGTGAGAGGGATGGGGCTTGCCCAGGCACACCGGGTGAGAGGGATGGGGCTTGCCCAGGCACACCGGGTGAGAGGGATGGGCGGAAGGTCACTCATTCCCTTGCCCTGCTAGCCTCGTCTCGTGCTAACCTCGTCTCGTGCTTACCTCGTCTCGTGCTAACCTTGTCTCGTGCTAACCTCGTCTCGTTCTAACCTCGTCTTGTGCTAACCTCGTCTCGTGCTAACCTCGTCTCGTGCTAACCTCGTCTCGTGCTAACCTCGTCTTGTGCGAACCTCGTTGCGTGCTAATGTCTTCTCGTGCTAATCTCGTCTCGTGCTAACCCCATCTCGTACTAACCTTGTCTCGTGCTAACCTCGTCTCGTGCTAACCTCGTCTCGTGCTAACCTCGTCTCGTGCTTACCTCGTCTCATGCTAACCTCGTCGCGTGCTAACCTCGTCTCGTGCTAACCTCGTCTCGTGCTAAGGGGGAGGTTACATTAAGGGCTTGGGGTTCGAATCCGGCTAGTAATCGACGTCGCCACGGGTCCCCGCAACCACAAGCGGTTGCACTCGCGCAGCTGCTGTCGGAGGCGGTAACGGGCCCCTAGGACCAGCTCGATGTTGATGAGAGCGACACACGCGCTAACCACGTCGACGACGTGCTCGAGGTCACTCTCTTGGCGCCCTTCCGTAATCTGGAATTTGCCCTTGATTCGTCCATTGGACTGCTCAACGACCATCCGCATCCGGCTTTGCTGCTGATTGAAGATGACATCCCAATATACCAGGATCAGAAATACGGAGTAGGTATACAGTAAGTACGGCATAGGTACGTCTGCTACGGAGTAGCCTTGCTATACGAACAACTATACCTACAATATAGGAGAGATCCAGATTTTTAAGCTCGGAGCTTTGCGTTAGGGAGGAGCTGACCTGCAGTCACACGATAGGGAGGGAGGGTGTAGTTGCGGAAGCCGTAGGCGGCATCCGTGACAATGCAGTAGGAGCCGATGCCCCTGGCTGCAATGCGCTGACTTGCAGGGCTGTTCTCGAACACCCTGGCGTTGTTCACTGAGCTGGGCCATCCGAAGTAGAAGTCTGAGATGTTGCCATTGCTGTCAGTGACAAGCTGTAGAATAACAGAGTGAAAGCCCTTTTCTATTCCTGAAATCGTCGCGGTGTGGTTCGAAGCCTCGCGTGCGGATGTATGTTCCGTCGAGAGCCCCAACAACACCTTGGATCCGCCCTCCAGGCGGAACTCACGCTCCATTCTTTCGAGTTGTTGCGCATCTGGCCAAACAACCCATAGCGGCGTTAAAGCCCGATCGGCAGGTTGCATATTGGTACTGTCGATTTAGGTGGGGCAGCAGATTACAATTGGTTGACGAGGAAAAAGATAAACGAAATCGTTTTGCGAAACTTTATCTTCGTCCAGCTCCTGCCTGCGCGGGAGTCCCCAAGGGCTACGCAACCTGGCAAAGGGGACTCACACTTGCCTCTTTACCATGCAAGGGGGTTTGCGTGCCTGCGTTTTTGCGCAAACAACCCACCTCGGCTTTTTTTGTTAGGGCAAGTTGGAAGAAAACGAAACTCCAACTAGTGGGCATCAGTTTTTCCCTTGTGCAATCAAACACACATTGGTACACTCGCAAGTGGTTGGCAGACCAAAAGTCGCAACCACTAAACCGCCCGAAAGTCGAAATTCGTACGAATAATTGAGTACGCGTATAATAACGCGTACTCAACTACCTTGAGTAAAGCAACTACCACTGATTGAGTTCGCGTATAATAACGCCCCGTCAGTCACAACCCGACAGTCACCATTCTACCTTAATTATAGACAAAACTAGGCTTGAGCATCTACCCGACCCGACCCGACCCGATCCGACTTGGCTGACCCGTGATCGGGTTCGGGTCGGGTCGGGTCGGGTGAAGGTCGGGTCGACCCTAGGATTCTTCCAACCCGACCCGACGAAAACAGGTCGGGTCATACCTGCCCGCGGTCGGGTCGGGTCGACCCGACCCGACCACGGGTACGGCGACCCGTCCTTTTTTAAAGGGCATCCATAGCAGCCTAAGTTACAATGATCTATGCAGCGACTAAAAGCTTTTTTCCTCCTAATTTCAAGATCCGCTTCGTATTCCTCGTGTTTGGGGGTGTTGGTGAAAATCGTTGGTTGGGGGGTGCTTACAAGATTTTACTTGGGGTGTTGACGAAAATTCGAGTGGTTTGGAGGCGTCGGCGAAATTTGTGTGGGTTGGGTGGGGGTGTTGGCAAAAGGTCGTGTGGGTTGGGGGTAGACATGGTTACATCGCATCGCATCGCGATAAATCGCATCGCTTTTTATCGCATTTTGCGATAGCGATTTATCTTTTTTTTTTTTAAAAAAAGAATATCGCGGCGATGCGATGCGATAATATCACGCGATATTTGCGATATCGCGTTTTTATCGCGCTATTTTTTGCGCGATAAAATGCGATAAGCGATAAAAAGATATCGCGCGCGATACTTTCGCGTTTCGCGCCGCGGAATTTCGCCAGCAAGGGGAGGGACATGGGCGAGGGCCCTGAACTTCGCAAAAATAGAAGGTGAGCTAGTCTAGGTTTCTCTTGGGGTGATGCTGAATGACGCGCGGAAATGGCAAGCGGCAGTTTGGGGGGAGGAGTTTGTGTGAGGAGCAGAGCTTGGAGAATATTAGAGGAAGGGTTGGAAATCCTAGATGGGAAGGAGTGCAGTGCGGTTGAGGGAGGGGAGTTTGGTGGGGGTTCAAAATTGTTATGGTTGGTGGTGGGTGGTGGGCGAGTGGGTTTTCTGGATGGGATGTGGTGGTGTGCGGTTGAAGGGATTTAGGGGGTTGGACTGAAATCTCGACCCCCAAAGTCAATTGGTTGGACTCCAACCAATTTCCACCACTTCAACCGCACTAAAATCCCTTGCATCTACAGAATCCAACCCCGTCCCCTCAAACACGCTCCACATGAGAGAGGGACCACGATATTGCCATCTCCCGTCAATTCACTTACCTAATTCCGCGCGAACCTAGGAGAGCTACCATTGTCGTGCCCTGTGGTGTGGGAACTCGTTTTTTTAGGGCGGGAAAACAGTGGCCCCTAAATGCGATGTGATATTATATCGCATCGCGCGATGCATCGCTTTTTTTAGGCGATATTTTTAAAAATCTCCCCCTAAAACGCGATATGCGATTTCGGTTTTTTTTTTAACATATCGCAGTGATGCGATATCACATCGCTGCGATATAATGCGCGATAAGAAAGAATGCGATGCGATATCGCATCGCATCGCGTTTTGACCATGTCTAGTTGGGGGTGTTGGCGAAAATTCGTGTGGGTTGGGGGTGCTGGCGAAAATTCGCTTGGGTTTGAGGTGTTCGCGATTTCTGAGTTGAGTAGGGTGTGTGCTGAGTCGATTCCATCCAAAAGGAGATCTAGATCAGCCTAGACCCGTTGGGCAATTTCTTACCCTAAGGAAGGGAGGAAACACTAGTTCTAGCTGAAGTAACCGTCTGATTCTGCAAAGAACTAGGTCGGATGTTGACTTAGGCTAGGGCGAAGCTTAGCTAGGAAGTTTAGGGTTGAAATTTTGACCAAATGGTCGAATTTTCATATCTGCGCGATTTTGGCCGCGCAGATCCCGTCGGGTCGACGCACGACCCGACTTCGGGTTGGGTTGACCCGAAACCCGACATGTCGGGTACGGGTCAACCCGACCCGTCTAGAAAAAACCTAACCCGTCGGGTCGGGTTTTCCCGTCGGGAATACCGACCCGACCCGACCCTTTGCTCAAGCCTAGACAAAACCGTACAATAGGTTCATGCCCAACATCGAAAATCCCAACAGTTGGCTGAAATATTACAGAAGGTCCGGGAGCGAGCAGCCGAAGCCATTAAGCGCGCGAATGTTATTTCTAATCGTAACGCGGATCTATACCGATGAGCTGTGACCCACAATGCTGGAGACGTAGTACTGCTCAACACCCAGAACCTTCGACTGCCCAGGGTCCCAAAACTTCGCCCCCGCTACTACGGACCATTAACAATCAGCCACATGATACCTTCCGTCACGACCCACCTACTGTTACCAGCCACCTAGAACGTAAGTCCATCATTCCACGTGCGACTGTTACGACCATAGATCACCAACACCAGTAAATTGCCTCGCCATCGGGCCAACTTGAACATCGGACCGCTCGCCAAACCTACACTCGAACCTGCGAAGACTCTCGGCCATCGAATCAAGATCCAGGGTTCTATTCATCATACTTTTCTTGTATGATTGTCTGAATCCGGAAACTGCAATTCATATTATGAGGACATGTTACGTATGAATTTCTACATAACTGTTTAGTTTGTGCAAGAAATATATGGTAAAGTGTTCTGATTTCTTGTAAATCTGCCTAAAGCCTCAATTCGGGTTTGCAAAACCGACAATCAGTCTAAAAAAAAAATCTGATAAAGAGAACCCTTTTAAGGACCCTCGAGGGGCTCGCCTAATCTAGTTAATGATACAGTATCTTGGAAGGACCGGACGGCCCTGGAAAAAAGCTGGGTGCCCCTAGCACAGATCGAGGATTACCCGGAATTACGAGTCTTCTACCTCCAGTCACGCAACGTGTGCGACGTCGGCAAACTTAGCTAAGACCATACCGTGGAGGGGGGAGGGTGTAAAGAAATGATATTTTCTTATCACGAGTTGTAGTTCAAAAAGCGTACATTGCTATAATGGGGTTGCCCTGCATCTTTGCCACGAAATTCAAATCGAAAACCCGAATATGGTCTCCTGACGAGCCGCATGCATTTTGCTCGTCTTGCTCTTTCATGCTTAGATCTGGGCGCTTCGCACCAATTTACAAACCACATGTCTCAGCTCTGCCGAGCCTTGACCGTGTGATTTAGGCCTAGCTATCTTCCTGCTCCCTGTTGTTGTGATGTTGCCGCATTGTATTGTTCCCTCGTGACTCAATTATTCGACACACGCTCTTAACGCTTCATTACACTTTGACGTCTTGCATGTGGTTGTACAATCCAGCGAATTCTCAATACACTACGTACAGTAATGAGGTGGGGTATGCCAACCACTTGGGGAGCAAATCTCACTTGGGGTTGCCAACCACTAAACCGCCCGAAAGTCGAAATTCGTACGAATAATTACCCTTCGTGCTATGCTCATCTCGTCTCGTCACGGCTCTCACAATCTCTTCACTCCTCTACTCCCTTCCCTCCTCTACTCTCTTCGCTCCTCTACTCTCTTCGCTTCTCTCCCCTCGTCGTCCCTCCCTGTGCTCCAGGTGGTTGTGGCGGGGTGTTCGGCAGGTGCCGTGGCAGTGCTGCTACACTGCGATCGGATCCGAGCCGCACTGGAGGCCATCGCTCCCTCCATTAGCGTCCGCTGCATCGCAGATTCCTCCATGTTCCTTGACCTGTGAGACGGGACCCATGCTGACCTGAAAGACCCATGTTGACTTGTGTTGACTGCGTTGACCCGATTCAAGGTGCAAAAGTACGGCCGTTTTTTTTTTTTTTTTTTGGCGTATAATACGGAATCGTATTTTCCGGTCGTATAAAACGGTTTATAACGCTAAAAGTGTACCTTTTTTGGTTGGTGCAAAAATACGGCCGTTTTTTTCAACCCACCGAAAAGTAGTGGGTCCCGAAAGGGGAAGGAGAAAGTGGTAGAGGGGGAGGGGGAGGGGGAGGGGGAGGGGGGAGGGGGAGGGGGAGGGGGAGGGGGAGGGGGAGGGGGAGGGAGGGGGAGGGGGAGGGGGAGGGGGAGGGGGAGGGGGAGGGGGAGGGGAGGGGGAGGGGGAGGGGGAGCAGGCGGAGACGGACAGCGAGGGCAGCGAGGACCAAGGGGAGCAACCCGTGGGACTGCAGTGATGGGAACAGTGGGGAGGACGAGGAGGAAGAGGAGGAGGAGTAGGAAGAAGCGGGGGAGTCGCAGCAAGGAGCCGTGGTGAGGGAGGAAGGAGGGCATAGTGGAGGAATAGGGGGGGGCATGGTGGAGGAGTAGGGGGGCATTGTGGAGGAGTAGTAGGAGTAAGTTAGACTAGACTGACCTGGAAAGTTGCTTGTTAGCCCGCGTAGCATTCGGTAGTCTGTCATAGCCAAGGTACTGTCAGTTTCTGCATGTCTGCCCTTTTTGTTTTTCCAAAGATTTTCGTCTATTGAAAAAACGGTGTTTTTTTAAAAAATCTGGCGTATTATACAACCGTATAAAACGGACCGTATAATACGGATACCGTTTTTTTGCACCCTGACCCGATTTGTAGGCCCTCTCTCCCGCCATCAGTGTCTGCTGCCTCGCTGATTCCTCCATGTTCCTCGACCTGTACGAACCATGTGGACTCGCACATTGACCCATACGACTCGTGGTGTCTAGGGTTGCCCTGTTTGGCTCTCGTTGACCTGTGGGACTCCTGTTGACCTGTGGGACTCCTGTTGACCTGTGGGACTCCTGTTGACCTGTGGGACTCCTGTTGACCTGTGGGACTCCTGTTGACCTGTGGGACTCCTGCTGACCTGTGGGACTCCTGTTGCTGTGTGGAATTAAGTTGCAGTGTGCTTTTCCATCCTCTCTCATTCTCTTGCTGTCCCTCTACAGCCCAGATGCAAACAACACAAGGAATGTGGAAGCCCTTTTTACTAATGTCACAAAAATGCATGTAAGCGATATGCATGTATGTACGCGATATGCATGTATGTACGCGATATGCATGTATGTACGCGATATGCTCTGTGGTACTGACGTGCATGTGCCGTGCACCCTATGCGCAGGTAAGCCTGGCTCCGCATGCATGGTTTACAGGGCATGCTAATTTTCAAGCAAGGCATGGATTTGCAAACTTGACTGTGCATGTACATATGATACTGTATGATACTTGCGTGCTTCTTTTGATCAGCCATGACACCTTATCGCTTCCATTTTCCGCTTAATGCTCCTGTCAACTATCCTCTTCTTCCCTCCGTATATCTTGTCATTTTGCCCCGTGTTGTCTCTTCCCATGCTCCTTTCGCCCCTTGCCCCTCTCTCCCCTCTCTCCCCACTCTCCCTTCTCTCCCCTCTCTCCCCACTCTCCCTTCTCTCCCCTCTCTCCCCACTCTCCCTTCTCTCCCCTCTCTCCCCACTCTCCCTTCTCTCCCCTCTCTCCCCACTCTCCCTTCTCTCCCCTCTCTCCCCACTCTCCCTTCTCTCCCTTCTCTCCCCTCTCTCCCCACCATCCCTTCTTTCCCCTCTCTTCCCACTCTTCCATCCCTCCCTTCTCTGAGAGAAGTAACATTAGAGAGAAAAGTGTTTACTAGAAAGGGAGCCAAGAGGCTCTATAGTACAACCAAGGAGCAAGGAAAGGTTGGAACGGAAGGCACTCCTATTGGCAACAATAGTGGCCAATGGGAGAGGTAGCTTGGAGGGGAAGCAACCCCAAAGTGTGGTGGTTGCTGATTGGTGGAGCCTTGGGACCGTTCGGTTGGAAAGTGCCAACCAAAGGACCAAGGCCAAATCCAATCTTGACCAACCAAATTGTGGTTGGTGATCCCAACCAACAACCCCCCAATAACTTAAATGTCTACACCTCCTATTCTAGTCATGCATGTTGTATATAATAATATATTACAACATTCTCTCCCCTATCTCCCCTCGCCCGCCTCTCCGCCTCAGAACATGTCTGCCAGTCTACCTCCAGCATGCCTCAAGGACCGGCCGCCAGAGAAGCATTACGAGGTGCGCCCCTTCCCTGAGCAGGCGCTTTGTGCCCGTCTAGTCTCGGATCACGCTGCCGAGTCAACTCAAACCAAAAGCAGCCGCCAGAGAAGCACTATGCATGTGCCATGCATCATGTGCCATGCATCATGTGCCATGCATCATTGCATCATATGCCCATGCCATGCATGCATCATATGCCATGCCATCCACATGTGCCTAAGTAAGTCAAGCAAGATGTGCCACCATCTCCCTTCCTCTCCTCCTCTCCACCATCCGTTCTCTACTCCACGGCCCCTTATCATTCTTCCTGTCCTCTGATCCCCATCCCCTCTCTATGCCCATCCACACACCTCACCACCCTTCGTCACCTCACTTCACCCGTCATCACCGCACTGCACGCCAGTGTTTCATGGCAGAGCACCTGCTGCCGTACATCTCCACGCCTCTCTTCCTGATCAACAGCAACTATGACATAGTGGCGGTGAGTTCACCTGGCGAGGCACCAGTGAGTTCTCCTGGCAAGGCAGAAGTGAGCTCACCTTGCTGGCAAGGCAGCAATGAGGTCAGCTGGTGACTAGAGTTTACTTTTGAGGCGCCTCAAAAGTCGTCCTGATTAACAGCGACTACGACACACTGGCGCGGTGAGTTGTGCTCTTATTTTCAGACGCCTTAAAAAGCACCGGAGGTGGGGATGGTTCAACGTACTAAGGGCGAGCTCTAAACTGAGACTGGGCCTGTGCTTATTTCTTCTGTGCCCTGTGCTTCTGACTTCTGTGCCTTCGGCCGCAGCTGCGGCTCATTGTGGGGCCAGAGGCGGTTAGTGCGAGCAGCGGGAAGCCCAAAGACTGCCTGGAACAAGTGGACACCTGCAGTGAAGAGGAGAAGAAACGGATGGAGGGTGCGTGTGATGGGAGGGTGCGTGTGATGGGAGGGTGAGTGTGTTGGGAGGGTGAGAGTGATAACTAGGGTGGGCGCTATACGAGGGTGGCTTGATGCGAGGCCGAGCGCGAGAACGAGGGTGTGTTGATGGAAAGGTGAGCGTGGCGTGGGGGTGGGTGGGGTGGGAGTAACGCAAAGGCCAACACTTGAGACCATGCACTGTGTGGTTTCTCCCGCCATGCATGTCCGCCATGCATGTCTCACACTTCGTCATTGTCCCCACCGCCTTCTGTTTCTGCCTCTCATGTACCGGAACTGCCCTTGCACCCATGTCAAGCGCCTCTAAGCACGTCCCTTTCGGGCGACCCCTCCCTGCCTTGCTGCTCCCCCCTCAACCCTCAATCCCATCCAGCTTTCAGAAAGGGGGTCACCTCAGCTGTGGCTCCTCTTCTCCACGCTGACCCTCCCTCAGCCTCCTCTCTCTCAGCATCACCATTGGCACCACTCTCCACTCCTCCTAATGGGGTCTTTCTCTTCTCATGCTTCCAGCACGGCTCCATCCACCTGGACATGCCGTGGAAGCTGCGCACAGCAAACGGGGTGGTAGGTGCTCGCTTGGTTCATGCACCTGCTGTGCTTTTCCTTTCCTGGTTGTATGGTTGAGTATTTAAGGTGCGTATGTCATCTGCGTTTGTTATGTGTGTATGTCATGATGGGTGAAGGGTAGTGGGGTGGCCACGGGGTTGGGGTGTGTCAGACTTCTCCAGGTGTAACGAAGCAGAAGGGCTGTCATTGGATGCTGGGTGTGGGCCCGGTTGCAAGTGATGACCAGCCAATTGCCACGTGGTGCAGGAGATTGGTCCAGCCTGTCCCTTAGAGGCGATCCCGCCACTCCTGCTTCACGGGGGTCATAACCGGAGCATCATCGGCCAAGAGAACTGGGATGAAGAACCTCAGAGGCAAAGGACAAAGCCTACTGGTGCTGGCATTGGTCGCTTGAAAGCGTGTGTGCGTGTGTACGTGTGTGTTTATGTGCCTCATTGTGTGTGCATGTGTACATGCGTGTTTACATGCCTCATTGTGTGTGCATGTGTACGTGCGTGTTTACATGCCTCATTGTGTGTGCATGTGTACGTGCGTGTTTACATGCCTCATTGTGTGTGCATGTTTACGTGCGTGTTTACATGCCTCATTGTGTGTGCATGTGTACGTGCGTGTTTACATGCCTCATTGTGTGTGCATGTGTACGTGCGTGTTTACATGCCTCATTGTGTGTGCATGTGTACGTGCGTGTTTACATGCCTCATTGTGTGTGCATGTGTACGTGCGTGTTTACATGCCTCATTGTGTGTGCATGTGTACGTGCGTGTTTATGTGCCTCATTGTGTGTGCATGTGTACGTGCGTGTTTATGTGCCTCGTTGTGTGTGCGTGTCCTTCCCTTGTTATCACGCCTCTTCCTTGGCCCTCTCCTCTGCCCCCTTTGCAGCCCATGAACGAAGCAGTTGGCCGGTGGGTGCACGCCAACGACAATGAGAAGATTCATCTTGTGGAGGGAAGCTATCCGTGCAACACCTGTGGCATGACGCTCTGAAGTGCGACGTGAGGAGATCATTTCCCCCTGCAGCTGTATTGCTTTGTTGCCTCAAGTTTCATCTCGTTGACAGAAGCTAGACAGCACTTGCGGCTTCACGTTTTGAAGTACAGCCAGGAGGAGTGTCCCCAGTGCTGATCTTTGGTTTTTCACTACTCTGAACTCTGGTGGTGACTTTCCCAACTATGAAAATCAGAGTGGTCACGAAGGCATCAGAGTAACCCTATAATTGCAATTATAATACCATGGCTAGTCAGTGTGATATATTTTCCCACTCTGGTTGTAGTACTGAGCTGGTTTAGAGGCATGGTGGAATGATGCTGGCCAAAGTAATTACCGTATTCCCCCGTATAAAGCATCCTAGGGTGGTAACCAAAATGCGTCTAAATTTTGAGGGGGGTGTAATTAGTGGCTAATTTTGTATAATGCCTAGGTGTTGTGGAACATGCGTATGTGATATTGTTTTTCCTGAACAAAGTGCACTGTCGTAATCTGCTGTATTTGGTTTTTCCCCTCGACATCGCGTACGGAAGTGGTGAAACACCTAAGAGCCAATCCGTAAGAGGCAGGGCACGATTTTCTTGGCGGGAAGGCGAGCGCGACCCGAAAGTCAAGTAGCGAACATTGAGTTACGAGGATTCAAGGGACACACTTGTTCGGGCAGTCAAAATGGGTCTCGAATTTTTCTGTGTCGCACCTCTTGAACCTGTATACGGTAGGTTCCTCGATAAGTTTCCCACTAGCTCTCACGCTCAGGTGATGGCACAGCAGCAGTGGTAGAAAAAGAGGGTATCGCTTGTCTATGCTACTCGAACTCAAAAGTGATGTAAAAAGTTTCGGGGGGGGTGTTCAAATATTTGCAGGCGAAAAAGACGGGTGCTATGTATATCCACTTTAATTAAGCACCCATGTCTGCTCAAGCCACCCATGGGCGTTCAATTTTGCGGGGTGCTGTATACGGGGGAATACGGTATGGCATCAGAACGAAGCATTACCACGGCTGATTTTATCAGACTATTTAGTCTGATTAGTCTGAAATTTCAGACCCTTTTTTTGGCGAAAACCTGAATTTCCAGATAACCCATTTTCCCAATCCTGATCACTTCAGAGTACGATTCTAGGGATCCTGAGAAAATCAGAGTTGTCGCTAACCCAGTACTAAGTTTCCAGAGCACAACGCGTATAGACCCTGAAACATATGTACCGAACCGTATTACCGGTACCAACCTCCGAAAATTTTGGCCAGGTCCCCGATCGCTAAGAAACATGCCCCACACACCCCACAACCCCTCGAAAAGTTCGGCTAAGTCCCCGAACCCTAGAGACAACCCCCACACACCCCACAATCCATCTAAAATTTCGGTTGAAGTCCCGGAACGCTAAAGACATCCCCCACACACCCCACAAATTGAAAATTTCGACTAAGTCCTATTGTCAGATACAGTCCCCCCTAACACCCGGAACAACCCAGAAGTTTTGGCTAAGTCAAAAATTACAGACATCATCCCTCTCACACATGCCCCACGATTGGTTTTAGGGTACCCCGATTGCTCAGTGTCATGTGCCAAAAACTTTCCATCAGCCTCCTAAAAAAAAATTACCCTCAAGAAACCCTGATTTGACCAAAAAAGCAGAGAAAAACTTTCACATTCTTTTAGGTGCATTCGAAAGAGAGTAAATTCCGCATTCAACATTGGGAAATTATCCCAAGTTGCCCGTTTGGTCAAGTGAAAGTCTAACAAAATGTAACGGTCACGATTGATTACGATCGTTTCGACATATATCAATCGTTCGATGGTCGTTAGTGATTAACGTCCAAGATCTCCCAACCAGGGCGCTGCAAGGGCGCGAAATTTCTCCCACCGCCCTATGCCCTAGCTTCCCCCCTCCCCACAGTTTTGATTCCCCCCTCCCCCTCCATTTTTGATTCCCCCCTCCCCCTCCGTTTCGCTTCCCCCCTCCTCTCCGTTGCGATCCCTCCCCCCCCCTTCCCTCCTCCCCCTCCGTTTCGCTTCCCCCCTCCCCTCCGTTTTGATTCCCTCCCTCCCCATTTCCCCGTCGGTTTCGATTCCCCCTCCCCTCAGTTTCGATTTTCGTAGGCAGTGCGATTGTTCCCCCTCGGTTTTTAGGAATGGTTTCCGCGCACCTACTTTTAACAACTATGCAAAAGGAGGGTATGAGCAGGGTTGCTAGTTGGGGAGTTTGTTGGAGGATTTTTAATCGCTGCAAGGGACTTAGCCATTTTTTTGGGGTATGGGAGGGATGTTTCTCGCTGTGGGGGTGTTTCTCGTGTGTGACTCTGGTTGTACGTGTTGGACCCTGAGAAAATCAGACTTGCTGAGTTCTGGACCCTGACGTTTCAGACTACCGAAATTTCGGCTGAAGGCCCTTCAGACTATTTTTTATTTGGTGGGGGTTGGCTCAGAGTGCCTTTTTTTGAAACGTCAGGCCTGAGCATTATACCATTCACTCTTCATCATCATCATCCTCATTGTCAACTTATACATATATTGTATGTAGAAGTTATAGGCTAGTATCGGTGTGTGCTCCTAGTGAGTACAACCCAACTGCTATATGTTCTGTGTTCTCTGCCTAGTAAATCACTCCAGTATTCTGACATGGTATCATGCGTAGGTTAGGTCCGCCCACTTGCTTCCGCTTCCGCCCTAGCTACTTGCGCCCTGGCTGGTCCTAACGACCACCCGGCCCCTAGCGCCTGCCTGGCTCCTAGCGCCCGCCCGGCCCCGTCGTGCCTGCCCGGCTCCTAGCACCCGCCCGGCCCCGTCGCGCCTGCCCGTTCCCTAGCGCCTGCCCGGCTCCTAGCGCCCGCCCGTTTCCCAGCGCCAGCCCGGCCCCTAGCACCTGCTCGACCCGTTCGCGCCTGCCCGGCTCCTAGCGCCCGTCTGGCCCCGTCGCGCCTGCCCGGCCCCGTTGCGCCTGCCCGTTTCCTAGCGCCCGCCAGGCCCCTAGCGCCAGCTCGGCCCGTTCGCGCCTGACCGGCTCCTAGCGCTCGCCCGGCCCCGTCGCGCCTGCCCGTTCCCTAGCGCCTGCCCGACTCCTAGCGCCCGCCCGGCCCCGTCGCGCCTGCCCGTTTCCTAGTGCCAGCCCGGCCCCTAGCGTCTGCTCGGCCTGTTCGCGCCTGCCTGGCCTCCTAGCGCCCGCCCGGCCTTGTCGCGCCTGCCCGGCTCCTAGCGCTCGCCTGGCCCCACTGTGCCTGCTCGGCCCCACGCGCCCTAGCCCTAGCGCGCGCCCAGCCCCTACGCGCCTGCACGGCCCCTAGCGCCCTCGCCCGGCCTCTAACGCCTGGCCGGCCCCGTTCGAGCCCGCCCGGCCCCTTTGAGCCCCACCTGGCCCACGCGCCCCCGCTGGCTCCCTAGTGCCCAAGTCCCCTCAGCGCCCCCTGCCCTTCGCGCCCTCGGCCCCTCGCGTCAATGGCCCCTAGCGCCCACGACCCCTCCTCCTCACCTCACCCTCCCGGCCCCTTGCCCTCACGGCCCCCTTGCCCTCACGGCTGTGGAGCTGTGGAGCTGTGGAGCTGTGGAGCTGTGTCCCTGACCCTGCATGATGGCTGCCTTTGTTCTCCGTCTGGACGCTGAGGGCCACGCGGTTGACTTCGCCGCCTGGCTGTTCGATCTCCGCCGTCAACTCACAGGTCAGCGCCAGGATGGGCACTCCATGGTTGTCCATGTTGATGGCTTGCTGCCCCGTCCCCCTGCGCCTGCTCCCCTCCTTGCTGACCCCCTCTCTACTGAGAGTGAGGCAAACTCTGCCGCTGCGCTAGCTTGTGCCGTCTGGGACTCCCGCGATGCAGTTGCTCAGGTTGCTATCAGTCACGCTCTCCCTGTGTCTGAGCGTTTGCGTCTTTCTACTGTCGCGACCGCCAAGGCTTACTTAGTCGCTGTTCTTGCTCGCTATTCCACACCTGCCGCTGCCTCTGCAGGCCGTCTGGTCCTTCCCATGCTTTTCCCAGACCTAGCTGCCTTTCCCATTGTTGCAGACCTTGCTGCTCACATGGGCGCCCTGGAGTCTCGCTATCACACTGCTAGTACTGCTGCCCAGCTCACTGCGCTCCCCCCCCCTGTTCTGCATTACCCTCTACCTTATCGCCATGCGCTTGCCTAACCGACTCGCTAGTGCCCGCGACCACTTCCTTAGCCAGCACCCGGGTGATCTCACCCTGACCACCTTTGTCACCGCCCTGACCGAGATCGAGACTCGCCAGTGCACTATTGCTCAATCGAGCGGTGCTGCGGCAGTCTTTATCTTTCAGGGCTGTGCCCCCTCCCAGTGCACGTTTGCTGACGTTTCGGCTGCGGTCGCCACTGCGACCCCTCTTACCGAGACTGCTGCTGCGGTCTACCCGCAACAGCGCCCGCGCCACGTCGGTCGTGGCCGCCAGGGAGGGCGTGGTGGTGGAGCTGGTGGTAGTAGTGGTGGTGGCGGTGACAGTCGTCCTCCTAAGGGGGTTGCTGCAAGTGGTCAGGAGCAGCAGCAGTCACCCCAGCAGCAAGAGCACCTACAGAAGCCGTCGCACCAGCAGCAGCCACCGCAGCCCCAGCAATGGGGCCGTCTCCCACCTGGGTGGCCCGGCACCTCCGGAGGTGGTGGCCGTGGTGGCGGCCCTCGCAGCTCGGCGTCTACCGACAGCTCCGTTACTGTGACCTGCCAGTACCAGCTTCAGACCGGACCTCTCCGTGGCACTCTGTGCCGCCGCCCGCACCCGACCGCCCGCTGTTTTCGCCGCCTCGACGATCTCTTCCGTCGTCGCTTTGGCCCGGCTCCGGACCTCCCCGAGTGGCTCCGCCTGCTGCGCCAGGGTGTGCCTACCTTTGATTTAGACATGGATCAGGTAGGTGCTACTTTGCATGCCTTGTATGCTGACGCTTCTAGTGTTGATGGATCTTATTACCCTTTGTTCAATAGCTTAGGTGTAGCACCCGTGAGTAGTCTAGCCTCCCCTGCTGCATCTGGTTTGTCTAGCCTAGGCTCTGTGCCTGCTCCTTCGTCCTCGGCTATTGCTTCGCTGTCCTTCACCCTCGACTCCGGTGCGTCTGCCTACTTCTTCCGCGACCGCTCCACGCTCACGTCGCTTGCTGCGCCTGCTGTTGTCGCCCTTGTTGACCACTCTGCGTGTCCTGTCATCGTTCGCAGCTCCACTTCCCTCCCCTGTCCAGCCGTCCCCCCGGGCTCTCTTACCGGACTCCACGTTCCCTCGTTCTCCAGGAACCTAATTGGTGTCGGCTGCCTTCAGGACCTCGGCGTCACCACTAGCGGTTCCCTGGGCACGAGCAGTTCGCTGTCTGTACCGAGGCCACCTCACGTCCCCCGGACCGGGTGTCTGGGCTGTTTACCCTCAACACTACTCCCCCCCCGGCTGGTGCGTCCTCCCAGGTCGCTGCAGCTTGCTTGTGTCGGTCACTCACCCACCCGTCCCTCGTGTGGCACCATCGCCTAGGCCACC